AGAATTTTCCAAAATTTACTGTGAAGAAATAGATTGCATTTTTTTTATTTACGTTAATGAAATTGAATGTAATATTATTTTATATAAAATTTATTAATAAATATCATCTTATATAACAAGTTTGTTGTAAATTATCATTTCATATAAAATTTGTTCAATAGTTATTTTAATTGTTTGAAAGTTTGTCACATGTATTTAATATTTAATACTGTAATTAATGTTAGAATCTTCAAAACAACTATTGGAATTGAATGTAATTTTGTTTACAGATATTTTGACTTTTGATTACTTATTTAAGTGGAATGATGGACTTGACAAATTGTTTGTGTAATGTTTTTTTATATCATACAATAATCATAAATTATACATATACATAAAGAGTTAGATTTATACGAGAATAATAACCAAATAAAAAAATAATCAAATTATATGTAAAATCACGTGCCTACCACATAATTTAACCATTTAATGATTATATATAAGGATAGTTTTATATTAGTCTCATTCCTTTCTTTTTGGTGCTATGGATTCACATCTCGTCTCAAATTTGTTATATTAAATCTTGTACCCCATGCACCTTAAAAGTCGAAGAAGGTAACTTGAAATTGATTTATGATTCGAATAAAACATGGATCATATTTAATATTTCTCCAATTTCACACATAAAAATCACGTTTCCATTTTCACACCTACAAGATAAAGGGAAAATATTAAAAGCAGGGTAATGGAGAGGGGAAAGTGGAAAGAAACAGACACCTATCAGATTTTACACACACACACACACATATATATACATTATATATATATATATATATATATTTCAGCTATATATATATATATACCGAGATTCATATCATAAGATCTCAACTGCAAGGAAAGGAAAAACAAAAACTCTGATATATTTAGGGGACGTGGGCATTCTATCACCTCATCCTTTAATCATCGTCAACAACACCTCTCTTAAAACTTCAATCCTCTCTGCACTTTCTCTCTCTAGAAAAAACAGAGACCTCTGAGTTTTCAGTTTCATCATCTCCGATGGCCACCTGGGTCTTATCAGAATGTGGTTTAAGACCACTCCCTAGACTCTATCCTAATCCCACAACAAGAACCTCCACTTCCAGTTTCCCTAGTTCAATCACAATTCCCGCAAACAAGATATTCCGGCCAAATTCTTTGGTTACCAGAGGGCGGAGCTGGGCGGTCAAGGTGAGTGCACCGGTGGGTATCCAGTTTGTAGATGAAGATGAAAAAAGAGTGGATGAGCCTAAAGTAGGAGAAAGTGAGTTCAACCCTGGTGCACCACCACCCTTTTCATTGGCTGATATCAGAGCTGCCATTCCAAAACATTGCTGGGTGAAGGACCCATGGAAGTCAATGAGTTATGTGCTGCGGGATGTGGTGGTGGTTTTCGGGTTGGCGGCGGTGGCAGCCTATTTTAACAATATGGTGGTTTGGCCTCTCTATTGGTTAGCTCAAGGAACAATGTTCTGGGCTCTGTTTGTTCTTGGCCATGATTGGTAACTAAATCTTCAAAAACTCTAATTGGGTTATTAAGATTTTTATATTTTTGTGTAAATAATTCTTCTAATTATGCATTTATGATCTGTTTCGATTCGACAGTGGACATGGAAGCTTTTCTAATAATGCAAAACTGAATAGTGTAGTTGGGCATCTTCTTCATTCTTCCATACTTGTACCTTACCATGGATGGTATGTATTAATTCTCTCTCTGTTTCATTGTTCTTCAGAGGAACTTAGATTTAACAGAATAAAGATTGTTCATATTGCTTCATACTTTTTTACTACTTTTTTTTTTTGTATTAATATTAATTATGATTGTGATTACAGGAGAATTAGCCATAGAACACATCATCAGAACCATGGACATGTTGAGAATGATGAATCTTGGCATCCAGTAAGTTTATCTCAGCAGCTTTAGCCTGATAAATTTGATTCATAATATCAAAATTAATTTGGTTTTATAACTAAATCCCGGTTTCTCCAAACTTATGTTTCCAGTTATCCGAGAAAATCTATAGAAGTTTAGACACGGCTACTCGAATGCTGAGGTTCACTCTACCGTTCCCTATGCTTGCATACCCTTTCTATCTGGTGAGTCTCACTATAATCTGTCATATTTGGCTTCTAATTTGGTCATAAAAATGCAAAAATAATACTACACTATAAGAATGAGCAATTTTGGATAAAAAGTGCCAAAGGACATGATTTTTCTGCACATAAGTTTCTATGATTTGTGCAAAATCGTATATTCTTATGCAGTGCAGCATTCTTCTTTTGCATTTTCACAAGATGGCTATCTGATAAATGGTAATAATAGGAAACCAAATAAGAAAGTTGGACGACTTAATCGCTCGCCTTCTTTTGACCTTTTCAACTTTCCTAATGTTTGTTTCGAATTTCAAATAACAGTGGGGCCGAAGTCCAGGAAAGAAAGGCTCTCACTTTCACCCAGGCAGCGATTTGTTTCTGCCTAATGAAAAGAAAGATGTGATCACTTCAACAGTTTGTTGGACAGCCATGGCTGCTCTGCTTGTGGGTTTATCCTTTGTAATGGGTCCTCTTCAAGTGTTTAAACTCTATGGCATCCCCTATTGGGTCAGTTAACTTCCTAGAAGCACTTTCGATTCAGATAGCAGTTCATATGGAATTTGTATGATATTCTGTTCTTTTCTTTTAACTAAATTCTTCATTTGAATTCAGGGTTTCGTCATGTGGTTGGATTTAGTAACTTACTTGCATCATCATGGCCATGAAGACAAACTCCCATGGTATCGTGGCAAGGTTCGAAACTGACCCTGAAATTTAATCTTATAGATTACTCTAAATTGTGGAAACTGTGGTTTTTGTATCACTTTCTTATGAAGAAGGTGAACACAATTTCTCAATCACAAATCACAATAAAGGCTCATCTGATGACGTTTTTAATGGGAACCACAGGAATGGAGTTATCTAAGAGGAGGACTAACGACACTTGATCGTGACTATGGATGGATCAACAACATCCACCATGACATAGGAACCCATGTTATACATCATCTTTTCCCTCAAATCCCACACTATAATTTAATAGAAGCAGTGAGTACTCTTATTTACTAACTTTTAGCTAAACATGATTTTATATTTATTTTTTTTAGCAATTCTAACTGAACAAATTATTCTGAATTCTGATATTGTAGACTGAAGCCGCTAAGCCGGTGCTAGGGAAATATTACAGGGAACCAAAGAAATCCTGGCCCCTTCCATTGCACTTACTTGGACTTCTCGCAAATAGTATGAAAAAGGATCATTATGTGAGTGATGAAGGGGACGTTGTATACTACCAAACGGACTCCAAGCTCACTGGTGATTCAAAATAGTGAAGCCACCAAGATTCGACAAGAGGAGGGAAGGCTAGAAATCCTATATAATCTTTTCTTGACTAGAAATTAGTTCAACAGTTTGTATAATAACATTCTTGGTTGGAAACCCTGTTCTTTTCTCCACAAAATGGGAGAGGGCAATTTATTATGTTAATATTTTGGATTATCTTGTAATACAGGCAGCCAAAAAGTCTTTTTTTAGAGGCAAAGATATAAGTATTGTTATTGTTGTCCACATGTCTCTCTACCTCACAGAACCATTAAGAATTGTCTATCCTTAAATATAAAGATACATATACATTTAGATACACATGTTAATGGGACCCATTAGAACCAAACAGTATCAACCATATCTTTTGTGTAGTATTTTGAGTAAAGGACTTGTGATAAGGAGGTGTGCTGTGATTGTACTCCTTCAATTGGTACACATGAATCTAGTTAAATATTAAACAGAATCTAGAGCCAAGTACATGAGCAATATAGATTGCTCAAACAGGAGGGATTTTGAAGCTAGATACGCGTTATGATCTAAAAAAGTTACAGAACACAGGTATTCATGTTTCTAGATTGATTTTGATCAATAGTGAAAGGAATTTACTGCAGTCATGAAAGAGCATATACATGACTTGTCTTTCTGAATGCCATCTGAAGCACAGATACCACTGCTGACATCAACTCCATCTGGTTTTAGTGTAGAAAGAGCTTCACTTACATTCTCAGGTTTCATCCCTCCTGCCAAGAGCCACCCATGTTTGCTCCTGATTGGCGGTAGCTTGAATTTGGACCAGTTAAATCCTTTACCACTGCCAACATACACCGAATCACTTGTTAGTTGACCAGAAGTATGCCAGTGTGTGATATAATTTTGTAGGAAAGAATCTAAGGAGAATGAGACTAAGGGGCCATTTACCAAACGCTCACCGATAAGTGCTTACCAACAAGATTATCACTCTTACTTACTTTATGGGGTAACATTCCCGGCCACCAAAATGGATTAATGGTAAGCGTTTAAGCGCTTTTCGGGATAAGAGTCATTACCCTCACTTACCAAATAATACTCTTGATCCCTGGCTCCTTGCCTTCCCTCTTACTGGGTAAGATTCTCAGTCCTTGTTATGTTCACCTGGTAAGGTAATTGGACTAGCAAGTGCTTACCCAAGTAAGTGTTTAGTAAACAGCCCCTAAGACTAGGAATCTGAAATATGTCATAAGTTTATGGCAAACAACTAAGACAAGAACATACAATTTCAATATAAGAGGAACTCAACATTCCTTGTGATTTTCATCTTTATACTTAAGGGATCTATGGATTCCATATCCTGATGTCAAACTCTTTTAGCTTTTTAAGTTTTTCACTTGCCTTTAGGTTTTATCCAACATTTTCTAAAGATAATGTAATCTAGGAAGCATGAACATGTGAAAATCACTTACTCTGCAACCCAACGGACTCTTTTGCCACAAGGGAAATGAGAAATGATAGAAAAGGAATTTTGTCAAAACTTGATATGAAGAAGATGAGGTACAACTAGCTCTATTCAGTAGAGAAGAGGATTACTAAATCACTCAAAAATAACTTATACCCGACAATTCATTTTATGAAACACATCAGAATGGTATAAAAACACATAAGCCTGTCTTGTGCATCAAACTATATATGTGGTCTTCGTTTAATTCTTTAGGTCATTTTTTACCTTGAAAGACAGTAGTGCGCATCACCTGCCAAATTCTAGCTTCCTCTGATATAGCTTAAATAATATGATCCAACTTTTATTCATGGAACGTTCATGACACAACTCAAAACCAGATTTTGTATGGAGAAGTAGGAAGTTTCTGATTACCTTCCCCCTTTTGCACTGTCCACCAGAATCCAATCAACCAAAGAACAATCTTCATCAGATATGTGGTTCAGAAGGTGACTGTCCTCATTCGCATGAAGAACATAAATTATTTGCTTCTCCTTTGCTAAAACAGAAAATGCAGACCGTGATCCATCTCCATGAAGCTGTAGAACTTTGGAAATTAGCATGTTATCAATTGTATAGAACGCCTTCATCTACATCTACAAGTTATCTATTTACACCCAGCAGTTTACCTGCACAAACTCAAGATCCGCATCATCAGAAGCCCTCAGTATTGAGTTGGAGTCATCTTCAACAAACACCCCAACAGGCTTTGCCCCGTATTCACGTGCAACTTTTGAAATTTCTTTTGCAGTAGAAATTGAAACTGAACGCTTAGAATTAGGCCAAAGGATCATCCCAATAAAGTCAGCACCAGCTTCTGCTGCCAGTGCTGCATCTTTAGCTGATGTAATTCCACACATCTTAACCAAGGGTCTGTCATCTCTACCCCTCTTATTAACAGGGGAGAATTCAGTTGGTTGGTGTATTGTACAAGTTACTGATTTCTTTTTCAGAGACCTTGTGCGTAAAGTCTGTAATTCCGTGTTCCTTATGCCTGTTAATTCACATAATAATTGAATTGGTAATAAAAAAGGCCAGACCTTTGTAATATGGAAGAGTATTTAAATCCCTATCAAATAAAAACACCACCTGAGTGTCAAGGAACCCTAAGTGAGCCACACTGGATTTAGGTGTCTTCTTTACAAAATTAATTGAATTAGTAACAGAAGGTAATTGAGAAATTGATATAAAACACCTTATCTGAATAAAAAATTACATAGTCATTGCACAAAATTCAGCATGAGCACCCAATGCATTTGCAACATTTCTTTGCATATGGTACCGTTATTTCAAGCAAAATTTGAGCTTGGTGCTGCAAATTTGTATAGCCAAGTAAGAGAAAGAAAAGAAAAACGAGATACATTAACAGAACTTCAAATTCGTATTCATTTTGTGACATTTGACACCAGATTTTTTTATTTCGCATTTTCTTCATGAAGTTTAGCGTCGTTATCATTTGAACATACTATGGAAGTGTAAAACTTGTGGGTAGAGATTGAACATACCAGGGCATTGCCATTTTTGCATGACAAGCACACTAATCTGATATTGGCATCCCAAATTTGACCCTGAAACTGAAAACGGGTAATGCATACATGACTTAAATGAGTGTCAGAGATAATCGTTTGGCAAACACCACCGTCGGTTTAGTACCATATGATCACATTGCAAGTTGCTATTATCACACATTACTGTAAAAGTTCGTCTGAACTAAACACAAAAATGGGTTTCGTGAGAAAATTAATGCAACTAAAAGAAAGGCAAACAAATTTCTCTGAGGAATTTGATCGAGCAGTTAAACTACAACAGAAGAATCATGCACATCACACAAATACATGCGCACCTGCGAGCATCTTATTGTTGGAATCCAAGAGCAGATTGATGAACTGAAGTAAACAGTCAAATTGCAGCGTAAAAAGGAAGAAGATCGGCAAAATCTTGATTGCAGAAGTTCCGCGCCGACGAGAGGAAGAAGGCAAAATGTAACTCCCAACTCATATTTGTTTTCAGTGAATTACAAAAATGGTCCCTCGACTATTAATCAATCAACAGTTTTACCCCTTTGAGTCAACTCAAACGTACAAATCGGATAAGAAAAGGAACCAGCGTCAATATAATCAATCAACTGTTTCGCTATTGCTTCTGATATTTCGGAAAATTTAGGTGATGCAATATTTATTAAAAAATAGTAAAAACATAATCAATTTTGTTTTTGTTATATTTTTCAATATAAAACTTTTTAAAAATACATATGTGTAAGGGGTTGTTTGTTTATTTCTTAATAGTTTCATTAAGTGACATCATTTGAATCTTTAAGAGATGAATCTTGCGTACATAATGGTGCTTCTACTATGTTAAGAGTTAGAAGTCTCCTAAAATCATCCAACACTCTCCCATTTGTACTAAACGTCGATTCAGTTGCCACAGTTGAAATTGGCATATCAAGGATATCTCTAGCAACTTTTAAAAGTATGGGAAACCTTTCACTATTGACTTTCCACCATCTTAGAATCTCAAAATCGTTGCTACTATCATCCACAGTGGACTCACTTAGATATACTTCAATATAATTGGGCATCAATATAATGTGCAGTTACGCACATATAATCGATCCTTTGCACAAATGTCCAAGTGTCAGTGGTTAAACAAATCCGTTGTATGTTTTCCTCAGAAACTTTCTTAAGGTTTGCCTTCTCTTCCGTAAAGATACCAAACATAAATCTCTATTGACCGTCCATCTAGATGGTATCTTAAACATAGAACATTAAGATCAATAAATTGTTTTAAACCCTCTCCTTTCAACAAACTTGAACATCAATTATAACCATCTTCGCCAATGCTTACCGAACAGACTCTTGATTAAATACCCAGTTAGTCAAAACACTTTCGCTATTTTCAGACTTGGAAGCTTAGAATGCCAACACAGATTGTCTAGTTTCTTTAGAATGTGGGTTGTTAAGGCAAGAAAGCATGTGGCTTTTTAAGGAGGAAGTGTCATGCTTTTTTTACTTCAGTCGCATACATTTTTCCATAATATCGACACTTTCCTTTAACCAACACACCCTCATCATTTAAAAGTTTTCACAAATTGATCCCAGACTTGAGATCTTGTTTTTGTAGCTTTATGTTTCTTAGTTTCAGGAATATATTGAGATGGAGCAGATGATGGTGTAGAAACAGAACTACCAGATTCGGATATCTAAAAATAAATTATAACAGTGAAAAATCAAAACAATAACAGTGAAAATCAACAATACAGTGAACAAACTATGAGAAATCCAACAACACAATGAATAACATAGTGAACAATAGTTTATGTAACTCCAAGTTTACAAAGAAAACTCGAATACTAGACAATATGTGCTTACATCAGCTAACAGACTGGTATTGTTCAACTTAAAAATCAAACATTTGTTACAGACTTACAGTAAACAAAATCAACAACACAGACTACACAGTAAACAAAATCAACAAATTCATAATGAACAAAATCATAAGTTCATCATAGATTTAAGCATCTAGTGAACAAAATCAAGTAATCAACAAATCCATATTCAACAAAATTTATAGTGAACACAGTGAATAAAATGATAACAGAAAAAGAATCAGAAAAAGAACATTCTTAATCCATTGCAAATACATACTTAGAAAATTATTGAACATTGAACTTACTATAGTAATATAATTGGAATTGGAAACCGAATGGTGTGACTGGTGTCGTCTGTCGAGAGGTGGAGTCGTGGACAGTGATCATGGTCTCTAGTGGACTGGTGGGCATAGATGGACTGGTGAGTCGTGGTCGCCAATTTGGACAAGGTTAGGTTATTATGTTACTCAATTATGAAATTGGGCAATCAGCTATAGAAAAATGAAAAATCTAATAAGTTGTCAGGTGGGTCGGGGACCGAAACTGGACACCTAAACCGACCCTACTTACCCGCGAAAAATTATGGGGTTCTAGGATCGGGTTTAATCAGGTGTCAGGGTCAGAGTTTTTTTACCTAATTTCAGATCGGGTATGGTCGGATTATGCTCACCCTTAGTTTCGATCATAGAAAAAAATACATCGTTTTAATATATAAATCACATTACGACATTTTATACTCACGTATGAAGCACATTGAACTACGCTGTTATTAATTTCCAACGGTTAGATGGATCTGTTTCATCGTAATAATGAAATGGTTTCACTGTTCGCTAATTACACAACATTTTCTTATCAATTATGAAATGATTTCACTTTCTTCATGCACCTATTTCATCAGCTAATTTCTTCCAATACGAACACGTTTCATAGAGTCAATGCTTTTACCATTACATGTTTTGTTAACCATTAAGTGAACAAAATCGTCCAAAAAAAATGAAACAATTTCATCAAATATTGTTGATAAGAAAACAAGATTATGCAAGAATATTATATTACGCAATCAGTTCATCCCCAAAAGTTTCATAAAACAAGCTCCTCAATGAACGTTTTTCACGAACCAATCTGCATACATTTCATAAAACAAGCTCCTTAATGAACGTTTTCATGAACAAATCTAACATGAATCTGTTTCACAGCTGATTATATTTTTACCGGTTCATGAATTTTTTTTGGATCTGTTACTGATTTCATGGATTAATGAATATAATAATTTTCGATTTTCATATTATTACCACTAATAAACCGAGAAATCAAATAACAATATTCAATTTTTAAAATTCTAATTTAAATAAACATTTAAATATTATCATTTATAAAATTTCTTTTATTATGTTATATTAAGATTTATTAATAACTTTCATATTTAATTATAAAACAATATAAATGACAAATATACCCTTAATGATTAAATTTAATTAAGAAAAAAAGAATTTTCCTATTGGTCGAAATTAGTTTATACAGTTTCTAAAAATTAGACGATTTTCATTTGATCATGCCTATATATATATATATATATATATATATAGAGAGAGAGAGAGAGAGAGAGAGAGGGGGGAGCGATCAAATGAAAACCACCCTCATACGTCGATTTCATTGTTTAATCTTATGAAATTTTTTCATGAAATTGTTTAATTTTGTGAAATTTTTTCATATAATACTTTTTTTGATGAATTTGTTTCATATATGATTATGAAATTGTTTCATATAATATTTAATGAAATTTTAATGAAACTGTTTCACGTATTTATCTAAAATTAAAATAATGAAGATGATAATATCCATGATTAACACCCTCCACGATAAAAATGGTTAATCAACCTATCATAATTACAAAAAAATGAACAAAATGAAAAATTATGATTGGTTGAATGAGGTTTTCACGGTTTTTATAAATTGAGTGGTTTTCATTTGATCGCTCATATATATATATATATATGCATAATGGGGAAATATTGCTTGAGGGGGAGTGAGTTTTTTTTTCCGTATCCTCACTATTTTTTCATTTGACAAAAGGGAGGAGAACCCGAAAATTGTTTTGGGCAAATTGTGTATGTGTGTTTTGCAAAACAAAATTTCTGATAAAAAAATCACTAATTTGTCACTATAAAATATCGGAGAGATTAAATTGTGACATTTTATTTTGACACATTATTTACATTTGACATTTTGATACATTTTTTTGGAAATTGTGGGTTTTATGCACACCAATTAATCCTCCGGTGATCACATGGCCTACAGTCATCACAAATAAATCTTCATGGGCACAAGGATTTTGACAACGTATAATATCTTGAAATCTAAAAAGAACGGTTAATTTAAAATTTTCAAGAAATACCTCAAAGGATAAGTCCCTTTTCAATAAGTCAATACTTGATTACCTCAAATAGCAACTGAGGTTTAACATCAATAAAATGACAAACTAACGTTATATAAAGTCTTGGTAAGGGTCGGGTGTTACTAAAACCAATTATAACGGCCATTATAAATTAAGGAAGACCGTTCTTGAAAAACTAAAATTTTCTCTTACATCTAACTACCACTCAACTTTTCACGGTGTTGTTAATATCATTCCCTAACAAAGACTTGATGCACATGCCAACAAATTAAAAGGGTTAAGATTTAACGTCTAGTGAGTTCAAAAAAATTTCATCTTCAATATAAATTGTAAAACTGGAAAAGATGTTATTTAAATCACAATTCAAAGATGAAATGTATACTTTATAAAAGCACCATCTTTCTCAAAATCATTATTTTTGTGATGAAAACTTGGTGACCAAATACCATGAAGTCAAAACCCAATACTAACCCAAAACGTGAATAAGCTTTAACATTCATATACTGAAAACATGAATAAAGCTCTATTATCCAAGACATGCAAAGAACATAGATAAGGTCCAATGCTCAAAACATCCAAAGAACATTTATAAAGTCCAATGCCCAAAACAACAAAACATTGATAAGTTCCAAAATACCAAGAGCATACAGTAGGGATACACTTCATACCCAAAACAACATTGAAAACATGGATAATACACTATCCAGAAATAAAAACCTTTTGGTGATGGTGGAGACCCGTTTTCATCAAGTGGCGGAACAATAAGTAGGTCATATCGAGATGCTGATGAGCAAATCATCCCCATCTTACAAACCTCGGTAAATACTCTTATTGGGGTTAATATAAGAACATCAAAACTACTTAGTAAGTTCCCAAATTACAAGATGAGAACATCAAAACTCCTCACTTTTCTAAAATCAAATGTTCTAAAACGAGAACATCAAAACTCCTCATTTGTCCTAATCCATAGATATCAAAATAAGAACCTCAAAACTCCCCGCTTAGCAAAACACGACAAACATATATGTTTATGGATCCAATGTTTTACAGTCTATTTTACATGACTCTAAATAAATGACCAACGCACTCAAAATATGTAACTCTGAAATAAATGCATATCATATCCTAATCTCAACATAGAGCAAATAAAACTAGACAAATGTCCCAAGACTCATCTGAGTCAAAATCGAGTAACTCAACAATCGATAT